GACTGAACAAGCAAGAAAGCAGCAGGAAGAATTGATGAATGATCTGAATGCCAAGTTGAAAGCCATGGAATCAGACATGGATTCATTACAAAAGAAATATGATGTTCAGCTATCGAATGCAGCCAGTGACAGGCAAGAATCATCTGTTAGTGCTATTTTCTGATTCTTCAACATAATTAATATATTAAAATATCCATTATATCAATTCATTGAGCCATCATACTTAATCAGCAATTTAATTTATTAATTCTTTTGATAATTAACTGATATTAAGAAGCAGATAGAGAAATATGAAGAAACGAACCAACAGCTACTGGAAAGCAACAGGAAGCTTCAAGAGGAACTGGAACATTACAAGAGGATGGCCATGAAGAAGATGGGCAGGAATTTTGATGATGTTGATGCTGCTGTCATCATCGGTGGTCGTGATGGTGGTGACAATGATGATGATATTGACAATGTTGATGATAATGGTGAAGAAAGAGATGCAAATGGGGATTTTGTAAATGGAACAAGTTACTTTTCAGCTTTTGACAATGAGGTAAATTCATCTCAGACTAAGGAGAAAGACTTGAAAAAGTTAGCAAATACGGCATCAACAGAATCGTCATTACCGCAGTACTCAGCAAAAAGTCAAACATGTTCTCAGCAAATTATTACAAAATCAATCTCAACTCTGAAAGCAGCTGCAGATCCCTGCGCAACTTCAGCGCATCTCACAAATCAGCGTGCGCAGCATTCAGAAGCGCAACAAACAGCAGAGCCATCTACTAAATCTACATCCATCCAGGAACCAACATTAGTATCATCTGGGGCACGAAACCCCTCGCAACTGACCACAACTGCAGCATCTGTACAGCCGGCAGCAACGACCACAAATGATCTGTCAACAGGAGTGACAACCTCACAACAATCACTAACAACTACTACAGCATCTACGAAACCAACAACTGTAACAACATTGCCACTGACAACTTCTGCATCAACATCTCAGCAGCCACCACCAACAACATCAACAACAGCATCAGCAGTACCACAACTGCCTTCAATTCATCAGTTCAGAACATCTCTGCAGTGTGATGATGAAGATATCTACGTTTTCCAGGCCCTCTACAATTATGACCCTATCGAGTATTCACCTAACGAACAGCCCAATGAGGAGCTAACTTTGACAGCCGGAGATTACATCATCGTGTACGGAGCCATGGATGAGGTGGGCTGTTTAAATGGTCGGATGATATAAATTGATTGATTGATTGGTTGGTTGGCTGTCTGGCTAGCTGACTGGCTGGCTTGCTGACTAACTGACCGACCGACTGATTGACTGACTGACTGACTGATTGAGTTATTGATGAATTGACGAGGATCGCTTGTTGAGGCTCGAATGAGATTGTTTCAACGAATTATATGTATACTAATATACCTACTTGTAAGTGTATGTCTTTTGAATGCTTTGTTTGTCCGACATGTGTAACAAATTTTTATTGCTCTCTAAGTTCATATAATCCGTGGAATCATTTAGTTTACGCTAATGAATTAATTTATTCTTAAACCTGCACTGATCTATGATTGTTAGGATGGTTTTTATTATGGAGAGTCTATGGACGGCAATACTGGATTCGTTCCTTCAAACTTTGTCAGGAAGTTGTCAGGTGAGGCTTTCGTCTTGAGCATTTCTTATCATTAAATTCATACATTGGACAATTTTATGAATTGAGGTTTCATTTGGTGTTTGTTCTTTGTAATGTTATTGTTGGTAGACCCAGCTAAATAGTTGTGACGCTATCAACATGAACGTTTACATGCAGAGATTGAGAGAGAGAACTTCATCAGACTGATCAACATGGATGTACAGGAGGGCCTGCTTCTCTCTCAATTCCATCACAACAGTCACATTGGTTTCTTTCTACCTTGTTTATTTATTCTCCTATATGATATTTTAGATTCTGTTTTAAACTGTTTTGGACCTTACAAGCTTCTAGGCCTTCTGTTATATTAAAGTTTTAGTTTATAGCGTTAAACAAGAGTTTATTGTTTTTAAAAATAATTTCAAAGTATGATTTTAATTATAAAACTTGAAAAATTTTTTTTTGAGTTTTCTTAAACTTAAAAGCGTTGTCAATAAACTCTTAAAGTTTGGTATTTGAAAATAAAACATTTATTTAGTTCTTGAAAGGAAATAATTCTCCAACAAAATTTTCCAAATTGCTGCTCAATAAATACACTCCACTGGGCAATGAGACGTTGCAAAGTCATTATTCCGTTTTGGTGATATGTAACTTGAAATGAGTCATTTGTTGGCCTTACTACCTTCTATACCACATTGATTATGAGCAAATTTATTATCATTAATGATGCAAATATTGTTTCTTTCCACTTCATACTATGATGTATTCACACCAAATGTGATTTATTATGCGCTTGTTTATTAACGTTCAAACAACCAGAGTTTTTGAACGGCATACAACCTAAAGTCAATTTATTTGCAGTTTACATTGAATTAATATCTTTCATTTCATTTCAAGCTAGTTAAATTATTGCAGCTCAAAAATTCTAAGAAATATATTTTTATTGCTTTATAACTTTGTGGCCTAACACAAGAGAGCATTAAATGTATTTCATATGCAGTTGCTTTTTAATTGTGTCAGTTCAATTACTTTAATTGTGTTGCCTGCATTATTTGACAAAAATAAGACGCCCTTGGATAGAAATAAAAATATTGATTCAATTTAATGGATCGCCGCTTATTGAAACAAAGGTTTAGATGAAAGCCTTGAGACACCTCCGCGAATGAATGCAGATTGCTCCATCGACAGTGACCAGGACAGGACCTCATCCGAGAAAAAGATTAGATCCATCTCGAATGGTAGGAGCAGTCACTTCATAAAATCAATCCTTATAATTTTCCTACTTAAAATCATTCAATGAATGTCTCGTGAAAATATTGTCATCATCATAATGATTATCACAATCAATAATAACAATAATAATGATATTGATATTAACATAATATTACAATTAAATGATCTACCTGGCTTTGCTGAATAAAATTTTTGAAAAAAAAAAATTGAATCTCCATCTGCCACCAATTGCAGTTCTGCCAGATCCACCAATCAGCGTGCATGCCCAGCTGGATGCGGTAAATAAGAAGTTGATGGTCACCTGGTTACCGGTCACCATAGCAACGAGAGGCACGTCCAATGGCGTGGAAGTTTCTGGATATGCTGTCTACATAGATCGGAGGAAGATACGAACTGTTTACAATTCTACAGGTTGTCTTATGATGAGGATGGTGGTGGTGGTGATGATGGTGAGATGTTGGTGGTCATGATTGTGTGGATCATGTTAGAATTTTTAGTAAATGGGGAATCTCAAAACTGCAAGCTTAAGCAATTTTTGATATTTCTGTTCAAATTAGAAATTAAATGTCACGAAATAAAAAAAAAATTAATATACTCGATTGAATGAACACTTAAGCAGTTCAAATGTGGTGATAAATAATTGTTGGACAACAATTGATGAAGCAGATGATCATGTTTTGTTGGAGTTGGATGATGTCAGACAGCAGATCTCTACCTCCTCACTTCCCTACCAGATCACCGTCCGCACGCTAGGCGCCGCCAACATTGAATCAAATGACTCAACTCCATTCTTTTTTACTGATCACGTTCTCCTTGACAAGAAGCTAGTTAATGGAGCTGAGAGGAAGTTGAATGTAGAATGTGACAATGATTTGCCTCATATTGCCCCCACTAAGTTGAATTTTGAAGATGAGACGGTGCAGGTGAGCGTTTTCAGTTCTACAGTGCATCAGCAAAAATTTATATTCTTTTGTTTTTTTTCACATAAATTGTTTTTAAGCACTTGTGAATTTATTTTTTTTTTTATTTAAAAAATGGTTTTAGAAGATAATGAGTGTTTTAATAGTTTTAATTTTTTTCATATTTAATTTCACATATTTATTCTCTCAAGTCATTAATTTGTTCTGCCAGATTCAATTATCAGAGAGCATGCGATCTTGGAAGAACCTGCCGAGCAAAGACGATCCAGACGATCGACCGGCCCACTTCCTTCAGGCCCTTCACAGATCTGCCAGTGTCAATGACGCGCACTTCACCCAGCATGACCAAATCATATTCAATTCCGACCAGCTACCCGTCTCACAGACTCTTATCAAAACCGAATCTGAAATTGTTCCAAATTTTGGTCTTCTTAGAAACAGCCATCACCATTCTTCAGTTGATTCCAGCCCTCTGCATATCAAAGGATTGGTTGATTATAAGCAACGAGCCCTGATGCCAAGCAACAATTTGTTATCAAACAAGAATATCTTTCAGAATGTGAACAACTTATGCAGCATTGATTCTCCAGCTTGTGATTCGCTCCTGATGCAAGACGGTGACGACGACGACGACGATGATGATATTAATAATAAATATGCTGACGGCAATGACAGTCAGTTTATATATTCCAACAAGCACAAGTTTGAAAAATTTAACGCATTCACAAACAAAGAAAATGGTGTGTTTCAAAATGAAATTCCAACGGACCAGAATGGAAATTATACAAATTCGTTCTCAGAATCTTTCAATGACATTCATAATAGCATCAATCAAAAGCATCAACAGCATCAGAAAGACTTGCTATCCAGACCACAGCAACGTCGTCATCATCTTCTCCACCACAGTGAAATTGTCATCACTGATAACGACGTTGTGACTCCACTGCGAATCCGTGACGACATACCGGACTCAGAACTAATTGATTATGAGGATGACGCGGGCGAGTCCCTGCTGGAGAATGTGGTCGGGGAGGGGGAGGAAGATGATGAGGAGGATGTCTACAACAACAACCTCAGCGTCAGCAATCGTGATAGACGTGAACATCACGGCACAGATGATGACGACATCGATGATGCCGATCATTTGAATGATGCCAATGAAGTAGACGACAATGCTATCAGGATATTCATTGCTTTGTTCAGTTATGACCCAATCACAATGTCACCCAATCCTGACGCCTCTGAGGTCGAGCTGAAATTTAGGGAAGGTCAAATTATTAAGGTTGGTCATTCATATTTTTATCTACATCTTACTGATATGTTTCTATGTTGGTTTGTCTTTCAGTCTGTTGTTAACATATCCACACATTTATACTCAAAATTTACTCTTACACAAATAAATATTATAAAATCACGGTATCCCGAGTAGTCAGACTTGAGTGCATGCGCGCTTAATGTCGTATCAATCAGGCCGTCGGTTGGTAACTTAAGTTTTTAAATAGAATGTTGAAATGGTCATTTTTCAATTTTTTGGTGGATCATCAGGCTCTGTTGGCTGTGTTTTTGTTGTTGAAATTTTAAAGAATTATAACAAAATTGAATTTTAAAGTCATACAAACTAATTAATAACGAGTAGACAGATGCCATTGTTACTCTCATAGCTGCGTGTTCTTTTGCAGATCTACGGCAAGAAAGATGAAGATGGTTTCTTCGTCGGAGAGGCCGGTGGTAGGAGGGGGTTGGTGCCGTGCAACATGGTGTCAGAAGTTCAAGTGGATGACCCCATCGTTGTCGATGAATTGCTGCAGGAGAGCAAGCGCCAGATCAACTGCAGTGTCCTCCGTGCGAACAGTGAATTCTCAAGTAGAGCTCCGAGCGTCTACGACCATCAGGGGAGTGGTAGTAATGGGGGGGAGGAGGAGGAGGTGGTGGAGGAAGATGGCAACGAGGGGTATGGAGATAAGGAGGTCCGTGAAAATGAACATCATGAAGGTTTCTGTCATTCATCTGCTGTGTTTCAAAACTGTTGTCGTTTAATTCTAATTGAATAGTAGGTAGTAATTATTTGGAATAACTTGTTTCTTTTTATGATCGTCATCCGGGCTCTCATTCCCACTCCAGCTATCAGCTCTAATGTAAATTTTTGCCATAAGTGGAAGGAGTTATTAATTGACGACATAATTAATTAATTAATTACCGTCAATTTGCCACTGCATGTCAGAATATGATTTGTAAAAAACACGCAACTTGCTGGAGTGATGTAAATGTTATTTCAATTTCATCTTCTGAATTGAAGTTTCACAGCCGTTGTAAAACATTTCATTGTCTTTATTGATTCATGCTGATGAGAAACTGAATGGTTTTGTTGGTTGAATTGCAGAGGTGGACGTGCAGATGGCGGTAGCGTTGTATGATTACAATCCACACGAACTCTCACCCAACGATGATGTGGAGGTTAGTTAGTATTACGCGATGTTTTCTGTTGTCTGTATGAATGGAGTTTCAGCTTCTGGTTAATCAGTAAGTCCCATTCATCCGCGCCACTGCAGTGTTTTTTAATATCACATTTTATCAAATTTTTATAACCAAGCCTTCAAATGTTCACAGAAAAGTAATTTTACAAAAATCTTAAATTTATTTATTTTAAAGTTTTCTCATTACATGTAAACGGTTATTTTAGAAGTTGTCTACGTATGTACTCATACAAAGAATGGACTTGTAAAAATGATGATGCGCTCACGGGGTAACGCATTTATAATGTTAATAATAACTTTCTGATAACAGCAAGAACTCTCCTTCAGGAAGGGTGATCTGATAGGAATCGTCGGTGACGTCGATGATGATGGCTTCTATTATGGCCGGTTGAACGATCGCAGTGGCCTAGTTCCTTCTAACTTCATTCGTCCTCTCGTCAATCAAACAAATGTCTAAATGTGTGTGTGTGCGTGGAAATGTGTGTGTGTGTATGTGTGTGGAAATGTCTAAATGTGTGTGTGTGTGTGTGTGGGAATTCGCGCGCGTGTGTGTTTTTCTATGTTTCTGTATTACTGTTAATTTACAAACTTTGTTTTTCATCTATAGTTTGGATGTTGTTATTTAATGGTTCTGTGTAAATATCTTATTACGCTACGTGGCTTTCACAATCTTCATCAATATTTCCCATGTTCAATTAATTGTACCTAATATATATTTATTTTTATTTCAGTGTAATCATATTTATTTATTTATTTCTAATATTTTATAATTTTTACAAATGTATTTTGAAAGTATTTACTATTGTGTGTGTATTGTGTGCGTGCGTGCGTGCGTGTGTGTGTACACTAAATTAATTGAATTGACTGACTGACTGACTGACTGACTGACTGACTGACTGACTGACTGACTGACTGACTGACTGACTGACTGACTGACTGACTGACTGACTGACTGACTGACTGACTGACTGACTGACTGACTGACTGACTGACTGACTGACTGACTGACTGACTGACTGACTGACTGACTGACTGACTGACTGACTGACTGACTGACTGACTGACTGACTGACTGACTGACTGACTGACTGACTGACTGACTGACTGACTGACTGACTGACTGAGTGAGTGAGTGAGTGATTGATTGATTCTTTGATTCATTCATTCATTCACTGATTCATTCATTCATTCACTGATTCATTCATTCACTGATTCATTCATTCATTGATGTAGAATATTTGCTTGAAAATCTTGTTTCATATAATTTATATATTATTTATATTTGCATTACTATGCTTGCACAAATATATCAAAAAGTTTCAACTTGCAGATGGTACGTGAGGATGTTGTTTGATTTAACAAGGAGATTTGTGGTGCTCTTTTAATATACTACTCACTCTCTATTTAAATCTACTAAATGACCATATTTATTAAAAAAAATTGTGTAAAAAAATATGCTTCTATTGTTTGTAAGTCTTACTTATTTACATAATGATGACTTTTTAAATATTAACAGTTTGTGACAATATTCATGTAACCTTAATTCAAATGATTTTATTAGAAATATGCCAGTCGTAAATCTTAATAATGTGTATTCTGTATTATAACATAGCTAGCATGTATTATAACATAAAGCACTGTCATTTGGTTAAACCATGTTCTTGATATTAACAAAATACTTTTATCGATTACAATATTTAGATTTGCTTCAACAAACTGACTAATACACGGTGCTTGTGATATGCGCAGAAGTTAACGAAATACATCTGTTTAGCGAGTTTAGTCACGAAACGAAATAATAAAAAGAAATCAAAAGATTTAAAACATACTTCAGACGTAGTCTTATTTCTGATCTTTCATGTCTAATGTTCCTTTTTTTATGCTTAGGTTACTTAGTTTCGGGCTTAATTAACCGCACACAATTCCCTTAATATAACCTTTCTTTGATTCACTTCAACAACTTTATTATCTCGTCTGTTTTTTCTTGTCAATTTTTCTCTTCATCGAGGTTGTCTCGCTCGTATTGTTTTTTACAATTTCATTCTCTGTCTCTGTCTCTGTCTCTCTCTCTCTCTCTCTCTCTCTCTCTCTCTCTCTCTCTCTCTCTCTATCTATCTATCTATCTATCTATCTATCTCTTACATATTATATTGACATATATATATATATATATATATATATATATATATATATATATATATATATATATATATATATATATGTCAAACAAAAAGTGATCCAATGCAATAATCACAATGAACGCACTTCGGCGATTTGACACGTCGTTTATCATAATTTCAGTTTCTTATATGATTGTAATAAATAAATAATAATATTAAATAACTTTTCATAATGTAAACACTTAGTATTATGATATCCCTGATTGTTTTCTTGTAATGTAATGTTTTTAAAAATTATGTCTCAATTCATTCGAGTTGTACGTATGCACGCTGTCATTGTTAGGAGCGCTCGACAATGCTTTACCGATTAATATCTGTTGGTTTTAGCGAAATCATCAATTGACAACTTATTATTTTATCTGATTAATTGTTGTTGATATTATTTGAATTGCAAAGTCTTCCTTATTTGTTATTTTACAATGTATTTTTATTTTAATAATATCGAAAAAATTCTTACAATCATCGACCGAAATTCTGGCATGCCAGTTGAACTGAGTTAGGTAAGTAGGTTGCGAACCCTTACATGCAGTTCGTCTTTTATGGTTTGTACATCACCATCCTTTACTAACTCCCACACCATCACCTTAAACTCACCTGACACCTCTGTATCATCATCATTATCATCGTCATCTTATACTTGTCTCATCATCATCGGTAGCATCGTCATCTTTTACTTCTGCGCCATCAACTTTTCCGCTTGCTTTGTGACAGAAATCTTTTATTGTGACATCGTTGTTATACTCTTCTTCCGTCTTGTTATTCACACGTGTTCATTGCTTATTTCTATAACGTTTTGTCTTCATTGCTATATTGTCATCTTCCATTCACGTTTTTTAATCCATTTGAACTTTTAATAATCTGTCATCAGCTGTGAACCACACCTTTCTTTCTTTCTTTTAATGCATCATCTGTTCTTTTGTTTTGCTAGTACACATCAGTGTGCTGTGTATTTTTTTTTTATTAAAAATCATTTTCTATAATAATAATAATATTTTGTAACTTTGTTGTTGTTGTTGTTGCTATTGTTTTTATTTCTTGATTCTAAATAAAGGGTCATTACTTGAATAAATTGAGCAATAAATTTGTTTTGAGTATATTTTGGACCGTTAGGAATGTCTTTTAGAATGTTATATGAGACATTCATTGCGATTTTATTAGCTGTGTGATTGTATTATATTTATTTTTTATTATGAAAGGAGGAACCACACAAATTGGCACTGTTATTTTTGTAATCTATAGTAATCTGTACATCTTATAAGGCTGACTGCAAGTCTCAGTGTTGAAGCAGCTCAGTCTGAAGATCTACTCTATAAAATGAATGCTGAATCAATTGTTTTGCGCAGTTGAAGAGACCAAAAAATGCATTAGGATTTTCAGTGTAAAGAATATTTAACTAAATAAACTTAAAATATGTCGGGAAGATGTTAAACTGGTATGAAAAAATTGTTACGTGCTGCTAAGCAGTTTTGCCATAAATTAAGGCTTGGTGTAAACAATGTATAACTTTGAAATTCTTGACGTCACGACATACCACGCGTTCCGTTTTTACAAAAATGGAATGTAGGTAAAATAAGCAAAAAGGCGGCGGGTAAACGTACGCGGATCGACAAAGCTGCACCTGACGATAAGGCAGACGATTTGCATGCAGTAAATACAACAAGAGGAATTGGTCTGCTCGGCAAAACATCAAATTGATCAATGGGTGAGGCCTCATAATGGACTAGCGAGCAAATCAGGCCAAAACATTCGTTGGTTATTGCTGAGTTTCTATTCCACACACAAACATATGCACCAAATATATACTCGAAGCTATTTTCAATCTCAACATTATTTGCAACATCATTTTGAACTGTATGTAGGATGATAGAAAAAGAAAATTTTCTGTAGGAAGCTAGGTTTCAAGTGTTAACGTGAATGTGTGTGCGTGTGTGTGTGAAAGAGAGATTTTATTATGATTGATAAAAAATTCCATACATATGTGAATACCATTCTACTGGATTCAAGAGTAAAAGACCAAACAACTCGTTCTTCTCAATGTGATTAGTTGTCTATGTTGCTGTTGCTGGTTACTTGGCTACCATAGCCAAACGGAAGCGTTTTGTCTTGATAGATTATTGTTCATAATAATTTTTTATGTTAATGGATCCGCCACAATTTTAAAAGATTATATATATTTATTTATTTCATAACAACTGCTAGATCTTTTTGACACAGTTGCAGTTATAAATTTAAAAAGCATCAATGGATTCAACTCCAAAGTCAACTCCAAGTCATGATATGAAGGACTGTGTGCCCAGTGTACTGCGAGACCCTTGCGCTAGCAAGGAGGTTGGTCTGCTGCTTCATTTCAAACTTATCTTATTATAATATTATTCATCAGTTCTTCTGCCTGCTTACTTATATGCCTGGTGTGCTGCTCTGAAACTAAGAAAAACAAAAGAACATTATTATTAGGCTTTAAATTTTATTTGCATGTTTTTGTTTGTTGATGAAAATTTTTTAGCAACAAACAAAAAATCATCAAACATTTTTAGTAAAAACTAAAAATGTTTGATGATTAATGTACAGATGCAGTTTCCCTGATTACTGAAGCCATAGTTTTTATATCTAGAAGAAGAAAGAATGTGTAAAACTAACAAGTAAAGTAAGATCAGACTATATAAATATTAATAAAATGACCAATTAGTCAGTAAGGATTATGAAAACGTGATTAATAACTTAATCACATGTAAAAATAAATAAATAAATTAATTAATTCAAGGCTAACACCAATATAATAGTAATGACTGAATGATGACACCTAATTACAAAAATATTATTTTTTAATTGCAACAGTCATAACGTAATTAAATAAAAATAAAATTATTCAACTTTTTCAAACACAAAATTTCAATTTAATCATGTGATTTCAAAAATGTTTAGTGTGTATGGCATCTTTCTATTAAAATATTAAGAAACATTAAGAAATACTCTTTACCAAAAACTTGCATTATTAATTATTTAATATTTAGCTAGCAACATTTAAAAGTGACATAGAAATATTGCATGTTTTTAGTTTGTTGCCAAAAATGTTTGATGATTAATGTACAGTACACAGATGCAATTTTCCTGAGTACTGAAGTCATAGTTTTTCATATCAGGAAAGAATTTATGATTCTAGATTTTTCTATAAATATGAATATAGGTGAACCTTTTTAGAGATCAATCAATCCATTCAATTATTGTGAGTATGAAATAAACAATATAAACATTATTAGATTTTGAAATAGAGCTTAGACCCATATATGTTTGATGACTTTGTACTACAGTTTCTACTTTTATGTCGATAATAATGCCTTCCTACTGATGTCTTCCTACTTTTTTACTTCTAGTTTATTAATTGAAGCTAATTCTTTTATGTTCATATTTTATAGAGTGCTGTCTTCAGCAAACAAGAGTGTCAGTTGTTAAAGATTTTAGATTCATCTTCACTGGTGGATGTCCAGATGGCTCAGATGGATTACATTGTTAATAATCTAAAGAATTTCAGCTCAAGTGTTGAAAAATATGTGCATCTGATGAACATTTATCAACAAAATGAAAAACTGTTCTATTATTTAATCATAAACAAAGTTGAACTTGTTATGCCCATTATATATACTCCCACAATTGGTCAGATATGTCAGCAGTTTGGAAGCCTGTTTGATAATCCTCAGTATGTTTGCTCTTTTCTATTTTATCTTTTTTGTTGCATCAGGGATGAATTGTTTTACGTTTTTTGTTTGCAGTGGGTTGTATGTAAGGTACACTGATATTGGGCAGATAAAAAGTAAATTGCAGCAATGGCCAGAAAAAAAAATCAAAGTTGGAGTTTTATTTTATTCTTTGTATTTATTTTTAAAGTTTGTATAAGGTTGCTTTGTTACATTTCACTCCTAACTCCTATGAGAGATTTTATTTGTTAATTTAACTTTTTTCATGCTATATACATGTTTGTGAGGCAAATGTTTATTTTAATTCATTATAGATGTCAATATTGAACTATTGTACATATTTAAGTGATAGATGATTGTTTCAACGTGCAAGTTTACTGTACTGCAAGATAACTGCTTCATTCAGGCAATATGTTTGACGGATGGTGAAAGGATCCTTGGTCTGGGAGACTTGGGAGCCAATGGATTAGGTATCTGCATCGGTAAGATGATGTTGTACACTGCCTGTGCCAAGATATCTCCACACATTTGCCTTCCCCTCTGTATTGACATTGGAACTAACAATGCAGTCTCTATTTACTTTTTTTTAAATTTCGCAATTTTTATCATACAAATGACTTACCTTTTGTGATTTTGTTTATTTATTTTTGTCTTTATGAGACAATTTTCATAATGTTTAATTTGTACGAATGATCTTATAACATATCTTTTTATGTCACAAAATTTTATGCAATTTCAGCAGTATGATTTTTGTACTGTGAATAACATCGCATCTTAAATTAAGAGTTTGCTGAAGAGCGAGCATTACAAGGGCTACAAGAAGAAGCGTCTGGAAGGGAAGAGGTACTTGGAGTTTATGGACGAGTTTATGGAGGCTGCTACCAGTCTGTTAGTATTCTGTTTGTGTGTGTGTGTGCGTGTTTATTTGTGTGGTGTCTGTGTGTGTACGAACGTGCTGTGTTTGTCTGTTGATGTTTTGTTAATGAATGCCCTCTATTTGTTGACAGCTATGGAAAGGATGTGATATTTCATTTTGAAGACTTTGGTAACCACAACGCTTTCGAACTCTTGGAAAGATACAAAAACAAGTATTGCTCTTTCAATGATGACATTCAAGGTGATGGGTTATGACATTTATTTCAATTGGTTCTTCATCTTTCATTTTTGCATTGCTTTTTGATTTGCAACTTATATTTTTCTACTATCTTCACCTCTATATTAACAAAGATTAAATATTCAAACTTCTTTGCTCCAGGCACAGCTGCTGTAACATTGGCAGGTTTGTTGGTCTGCTCCCAAATTGTTGACAAAAGATTGTTTGAACAGAAGTTTCTCTTTCTTGGAGCCGGCGAAGTATGTATTTATAACAATTCAATTTTTTATTCAATTTTGGGAATTTTTACATTTTCATTATTTTTTTCGATATTTTGAAAATTAATTAAAGAAAAATTCTTAAAATAGCTAGTTTTTTGGCTTTATCTAATCTACCTGTAAAATTATAAAAAAAACTGAAATTATAATTTCGTGATTTCTATCAGTATCACTTTAAAAGTTGCGTTTTTAATTTTTGCAACGTAGTTTCAAAAATTAATTGTCTTGAATATTAGGCTCAATCTTGTCCTCTCAACACATAAAATCCTTTCACCACATTCCTGTTAACTTCTTACTGGCAGGCTGCCATAGGAATTGCCACATTGCTGGTAGCTGCCATGAAAAGTGATGGCATCTCAGAAAAAGAGGCTCTCAAATGCATCTGGATGTTTGATTCCAAGGGACTTATAGTTACTGTAGGTATTCATTCATTCATTCATTCATTCATTCATTCATTCATTCATTCATTCATTCGTTCGTTCGTTCGTTCGTTCGTTCGTTCGTTCGTTCGTTCATTCATTCATTCATTCATTCATTCATTCATTCATTTATTCTGGTGCTGCTTTCATACCTACCTCTGTAATGAGAATTTAATATTTCCATTCCTTTAAATTTGTTTTCATACTTTTGTTTTTTTTTTGCACCAAAAAAGTCTAGAGCCCCCGAAACGCTGACAGCAAACAAGCAGAGATTTGCAAAGAACTTTCAAGCTGTGGATGACTTTGAAGAAGCTGTCAATCTCATCAAACCTGACGCTATCATTGGTAGTCATTGGATGGATGGATGGATGGATGGATGGATGGATGGATGGATGGATGGATGGATGGATGGATGGATGGATGGATGGATGGATGGATGGATGGATGGATGGATGGATGGATGGATGGATGGATGGATGGATGGATGGATGGATGGATGGATGGATGGATGGATGGATGGATGGATGGATGGATGGTTGAATGGTGGAGATATTTTTGATAATAACATAAGGACCCACTTGTTACATTAGTTACATTACATTAGTTGATGAATTATATTAAGTAATCTACTACATTAGTATTTAATGCTAACCCAATAGCGTTGCCAATTGTTGTCCTAGTAGTGTTTTATAAAATGTAAATTGGAAGGTGTGGCAGCCATTGCAGGCGCTTTCACTCAAGGCGTTTTGGAGAAGATGGCCTCCAACCACAAACATCCCATCATATTCGCACTGAGCAATCCTACGTGCAAGTCGGAATGCACCGCTGCCCAGGCCTACAAGACCACTAAAGTTTGTTGCCCCGCTGTGAAGATTATTATCTCGTCATATGTGATTTTTATGTTTTGATCGAAGGTGAACGTTTAATTAAGTAATTATAAACGGCATTGTACCTTTGTGACAGGGTAAGTGCTTGTTTGCAAGTGGCAGTCCATTTGAACCAATCACGATAAAGAAGAAAGTGTTCAAGCCCTCGCAATGCAATAACGCCTATATCTTTCCATCTCTGGTGTTGGGTGTCATGTCGGCCAAGGTATCCATCATTACTGACGAGTTGTTCCTCTGTGCTGCCAAGGTAGATGTCTCGAGCACGTCGGCAGTTTTGAATACATTTTTTTTACAATATTCTAAAACGTGTATGTTAGCTACATCATTTGAGATTGACTTACAAAAGTTAATGACGACATAACATCTCTTAACAGGATCGTACCAAGAAATATACTTTTGAACTGCCCTACCTTCTTCGTTTTCTCAACTTATAATGAAATTGTTATTCGCTATTATTTTGTAATAAGTCATCTTCCGTTTTCAATCTCACCGCCCATCTGATGTTCGTTTCTTAACTATTGGCTAATTGGTTACGAGTCATCTTTTTACCAGCTGCCATTTTTTTCCGCATTTTTTTCCGCATTTTTTCTTCAAATATATTTAAAAATATTATTTAAACATTCTCATCACCAAATAAACTTCTCACTCATTTTTTTCTTCTGATAAAACTCATTTTTAACGTTTGAAGTTTTCATTCAGTTTTCATTATCAATGCTTTATAAAATACTTTGAAGTGACTTAGAGCATAGCCGATGTCCTATGTTAATTAATTTTGTTCGACACAACCAACCACAGTTGCTGTCGAAACAAGTAACTGCAGACGAGATGAAGGAGGGAATACTCTTCCCGCCATTGTCACGCATGCAAGAAATTTCGATGACGACCGCCTTGTCAATGATCGATTACGTTATAAAGAACAAACTGACCACTTCAGTTGATGCCAATTCCAGGAGAGATGCTTTGGTTAGTGCACATTTGTATAATGCAGACTACCATTGCCCTACTGACAATAAGCTGGCAGAAGCCTTTTAATTGATTTTTAATTGTCAACAAATTTGCGCTAAATTTTTTTCTCAGTTGAATTTGTTTTTGTAACAAGTTTGTTGGTTCGTTGGCTAGATTGGCTCTTTTGTTGATTGAAGGTTGGGGGGGTTAGTTATTGTTTTGAAAGTTTTTATTGGGGATTGCCTACTGAATGACTGATTGAAATGATAAATTTACTCATTGGTTTCTTGTGATGTTGTGTGTTCTCATTCATGAATCTCCCGTAAAGGAAGTCTCTTATTTTATAATTTAGTTTCAGAAATTTAAATTCTTATTCAAATTTATTTCAGTGACGAGTTTCTTCTAACATTTTTTTACATACATTGCTTGCATCTGCTAACGTGTATTGTTCTGTACGACACTTACATTCTGCAATTTGTTGCTTTGCTCTAAGCTATTACAGGATCCGATTTTATAACTACCTGCAATTTCTCAACAACATTTATACTTTTATCAAACATTCCGGTTTTTATACATTTGTAATTTTGGTGTTCAATGACTTAGAAGTTTTTAGGAAAATATTTTGACTTGAAATGTTGCATGACTTGTTGTAGCGCGGTAATAATTTAAAACATTTGTTGAAGAGTTTATGTTAGCTGGTAAAGATTTATATTGATCAGTTTTTTTATAATTTGATGGTCACTCTTTTATTTTATTTCAGTCAAACTGCAGTTATTTATTCATTTTTAAATTAATAACATTTGTACTGATTTGCTTAATGTTCAGCAGCTTGTGTAAGGTTTTTATTTATAGTACATGCCATCATATGCTGACAATCTGGCAATCAACTATTTCAAATAGCGTTTACATACAAATTAAAAGTCCTAATGTTTCTGAGGGTTTACATATTAAATGTTGACGCGTTACGTCATTGCTTAATTGTTTAGAAACCGGTGAAATCTTTGCATTAGAAGAGATTATTTCCGAGGTTTAAAATGTTTTTTAGTTTTATTCAGTTTATTTTATTTCATTTAGCAGGGTACAACAGTCCTTTTAGTGTTTTTTGTATGCCTAACGGATAATAATAATAAATAGTCTTTCCAGTTTAATTTACATTTTAGTCGTAATGACATTTTTTTAATCAATATTGATGTTGATGCGTTTTTATAAAATAAAAAATTAGTCGATGTAATACGGTGTCCCTGTTTTCAACTCTCATATTGCCGAAATTTCTTCGCTTTTTCTGTAGATGTCATAGACGTTTCAGTTGCAGTTGGGCGGTTTCGTCTGACTCGTGCGGGAGCAATTCTGTGAAAGTTGCAGTCTGCTTGTCTGATGTTCAAAATTTTTTCTGGTTTACAATATATGACCGAACTGAATCGTAATGATCATTGAGGAGTGATTGTGAATCCCGTTGTATTGAATTGAATGAAAAAAATTTATTCAAGCTAGTCCACAACCGTAAATGTTTACACGCGTTTCTGTCCGTCATTTGTATTTGACAAAACACAGCAGTGGCCTTGTAGATATTACATGTAGGCCTATCCAGCAAAATTCTTGCGGCACTTCCGTGAGATTCATTAATTAAATATGTTTTTGAAAAGTTATCTTTCCTGGATATATTAGAATGTCATCTAGAATACGATGATATTTTTTAAAATTAACGCAAATAGCAGATCGGTGCAAAACCATTAATTCGTCGTTTAATCAGTTACGGAATGTAGAAGCAAATCACACCAGAAAAGAACATACCCTGACAATCATTTTATTTATTCTCGTCAAACATTGATTTGAACATCTTTTATTTTTAAATGTTTTAGCATCAAAAAAATCAAAAATTATGTAAAATTATATATCCACGTTAAAAATTAGTATTGACATCTCAGAAAAGGACATTGAACTGAAATGAAATGCTGATAAATCATTATTATACTAAAATAAAATCTAAATAATTTAAGATTAAAACGCTTGACCTGTTGGAATGTGAAAGATTTCATTAAAGCTTAATGGAAATAAGGGTTGGTGAAAAATCAATGCACCCTATTAGCCTTATAAGCTACTGACATCTAGGCAGGCATACAGGCTTATGATAAGTCGTTTAAAACATTTAAAAGTGTTTTAATTGATTAATAATGCAAGTCGAATGAATAAGTAAAATTTTAATATATAATTATAATATATATAATATATTATAATATATAATTATAACACTTGTAACGTGACAAAACGTATATAGCATAATATCCTTGAATTAACTGATAAAATGTTCACGATCTAGGTTTATCAACTAAGATGACATTTTGTAATAATTTCGTTAATGGATGCTGGTTTGTTAGATGGTTTTGATTCACAGACGCCGATATGCATGGTTTCGGTTGGATGAAATAACGGGACGGTCGCAATTCGGAATGTTGCAAACAAAAAAAATAAAAAAATTTTGACGTTTGTGTGTACCTACCGTGAAAGAAAAAATAAGGGATGGCTATAAACAAATGCCAATACACATTGCAGAGTCGTTTAAAAAAATAGCACATCTATTTGATTGGTGCTCTCAATAGCGGAGGCACATCAAAAAGCAAATAATGACATTCACGCTAATCTCATAAGATTATTATTATTATTAAGAAGAAGAAAAGTTTGAGGTTTTAAAATTTCAATATGGCGCTTTGTTGGAAGTTCATTCAGCATGTTCAAGGTCCATCATTAGCAGCGGTGTCATGCTGGTGACTGTTTTCTGGTGTTGCTCCATTTCATCGTATTCATCGGACGATGAGACGTTGTGAACGATCGCTGAAGCTGATAAAGTCGACGACGCTGCGAGGTTGCTCACGTCGTTTTTAGAAGCGGACAGGTGATAATGCTGATCTTCATTTAACTTCGTTACCGTCATGTCGTTATTTAGCTCCGTGGTACTATCATTACTGTTGTTATTGTTATTCAGCAACATCAAATCCTGGTGTGGGATTATCAGATTTGCCGAGTACTGAAGTTTAGTTGGTGAGGACAATGAAGCAGATGATACGGTGTCCACCTCGTTATTTGATGGACTAGTTATCTGAACTATCGGAGTCAATGGAGTTTCTAAGCTGTCGATCTAACAAAAATTTGAGTTTTTTAAATTTATCTGGTTCGTTTATTTGTAAGTAGGTGTTTAAGTATACTATTTAAAAAAATTATTACATAACAGGATAATTAAAATATTGAGTTCCTATCTTAAAAATAACTGTCTAAAATTGTTAGTTAATGAAACTGCAAACACGACAAAACTAAAAAAACAAACATTTTCGTGAGAACTCGAGTACATGGGGTGGCCATCCATGTCAACGCTGTTTGTTTGACATCGGCTCTTCAACGAGTTTATTCGCTGGTTTTTAAATGCCAGAATATTCTGAAAATTAGATGAACATTATGTTGGAGTGGATTATGTTTAATAATAATAATAATATTATTATTATTATCATCATTAATTATTCTAAATTATTTTAAAATGTGACTGAATCTTGAACTGGTTGACAGTCTGCAAAGTACTAAGATAATATTATGCATGTTATCACAACATAGCACTCGTAGAAATATATATTGTTATACTAGTTAATTAATATATTTATATATCAACACGTTCGTGTGGCAATATTTTGTAATCATGTTTGAATATATTATGTAGGAAAGAGACTGGAAGGTGTTTAATCGAATCTTTTTTTCAAATTTCCTGTCTCTATCTTATTATAATATTTATAAACCAAACCTGAACGATGAACAGGAAGAAGTCCAGGGCACGAACAAGATGAGGAACTACATTGTTGTTCAACTTTAAAAATGGAGTAAAAGAAAGACACAATCCCTACCTATACGATGTACTCGTAGAGGAAATACTGAGGAAAGCTTTAGAAAGATATGAAAACGATTGTCTATAGTTGTAGAGAGTTGTCAACAATCTGAGTTAGCCGGATGACATTGTGTTTTTTTCACTTAGAGCAAGGATCCAGCTGAACAAGTGAACCTGGTTATTCTAATCTAAACTTTTAAACTATCACTTCTAAATTTAAAGTTCTGATAACAAAAAACGGGTAGAATATAGAAATAACGACTGATGAAACAAGAGTGGGGAGTCATTTATACATTTGGATATTCAATAGCAACGAAAAATAACATCAGCTGGATTTGAAGAGAGAGATCAGGATTTGTTGAAGAAATGATGAACAAGCAAGGAAGTCACCATAGAAATAAGATTGAAAGTGCAGAAAGTGTTATGGATTCGACAAAAAATAAATGAATAGGCGCTATGCAAATGGGTTAACAGAAAAAAATTACTAAAATCTGGAAAAGTTGAAATTGAGTTTTTTTGATTGTACAACATGGAAGTTAAACTTTTTTGAAATGGAGGCGACAAAAAAGACTCAAACGGTAGTAAAATCAACACCGCGTACTGACTGAGCAACAGAAAAAAGCATGAAAGAAGGTTCATCTTGAAAGGCACCAGACGATAAAATTAATTCAAGTTGGTTTTTGCAGGATAATTAAGAGAGGTTGATTAACGAAAATATTTTACGCATTTTGAATGATTTCTTTTATAAATAGCTTAAAATGCGCTATTGAGTTTAATGTGTGAAATTAATTGTAAAAAAGTTCTTCGGTGTTTATCTGCATGTACATTTCTACACAGCATAACAGCCCATTAAATATTTCTAAAGGAAATTTAAAACAGAAACTAATGTCGTTAAATTTAATTAGTTGATTATCATTTTAAAATAAGAAAAATAAAAAACTGGGTGCAACAATGTTTTTAACAACAAGTGCATTTAAAAACCAACATTTTCCATGAAGATTGCGTTGGCATCGTAATCATGGTTGAAGCTATTTGTGTGGAGACGATGACGGTGTGGATTGGATCTTTTGTTGAACAGCTGATAAGATTGCTGCTGCGTCTGTGGCTGTTGCTGGCTGACGTTCGTTATAGAAGTTGTTGGAAAGTTCGTGGAAGGCAAGGCATTGCTGCCGTTTGAGACGCCAGTATTGTCATCCAAGTTTGAAGCATTAACGTTCAAATGCTCAGGCAATGCTGGCAATCGAGTGAATGTTTGTTGGTGTTGTCCGTCAAACGAATCAGGCTGGATTTCACTGGAATCGGTTGAAGACTGTCTTGGCATGAAGTGAACAACTGTGGAGCTGTTGGCATTGCTTCCGCAGTTTATTAAATTTGTGCTAGTGTTTGCGTTGTTAGATGTTGTATTTGAATTTAAAGGATGCAAATCTAAACGGGAACTGTGTTCTGAAAGCCATCTGCCCAATTTATCTCTTGCTCGGCCAACAATTGTCGTCGAAGCATGTGGAACCTGTTATTATGAAACGATTTCAATTAAATAATTCCATTATTATCACAAACTGAAATGTTTATTTGAAATAAAATAAAATGTAAACAATGTCTACCTGCAAAGTAGATGAATGCATTTCATCGCTGTCCTTCCCGAAACTGTACAAACTTGTTCTACTCAACATATCCACCGGCGACTTCGTTCCTGAGTTAGAAATACAATCCTAATTTCATCTTCTATTTACCGCTAAATTGATGCAAAGTTTTGAAAATTAACGTCCTAATTTTTGTAACAATGCAACGAAACATTACATAAATGGAATATAAACGTAAAGCCAAACTTCAATTCTGCATTAATTTATAGCATTTCAAAACTGACCGACTTACCACTCATAAGATTTTGGTTGCGATGATGATAGAACTGGATGGGTGTGTTGAGTTGCGAGGGAATGTTCTTCGGCACAGAGTTGGTCATGGCCACTCCTTCCTGAATGGTCTCCAGAGGTGTCAGCAGTTTCATGCCTTCGTCCGATATACTAATCCGAAATATTTTTGTCACGTTCATTAGTTAATAACGAAAACATTTTCATCGTTTTAACTGTATAGTGCTTACTGATTACATTAAAATGCAAATATCTAAAATGATTTTGAATCTGAAATGATTTTGCATTTCAAACTAGCATTATATTATAATTGAAATCGTATAAATCAAAGTCACAATTAACTCATGTGCCAGGTTATAAAAGAAATGTTAGAAGAAATAGCAAACCGGATTTCAGCTGTGGAGCCCATGTGAGGTAGGGAGATATTTTTAGCACTTGATCTGGTGTAGGGCAAGTAATCGGGCGGACTCTCCCCAAAGTAGACGTCTTTCTCCAGCGGTGGAAACTGACCGCAGAGGTCATCAACGGTCAGTAGAGAGATCTTTAATGTTGGTGACAAAAAATTGTACGAAGAATGAACGAGTTAAAGTGAATATAAAGTTAGATATAATATTGGTGGTCTTCATTGAGGAAATTATCTTAGGTCGTACGATTGAGATAAAATTGTTATCGACCGGATTTCGGATTTGAGCCGGATTATACCTGCATGTTCCGGTCGATGATCCAGTTCATTTCAAAGTCATCATCATCTTCTCCGAACGGGTTGATCAGTTGCTCAGCCACCTTAATAACAATTTCAAAATTAGTTATAACAACAAAAAATACTTTTAATAATATTATTATTATTAATTATGTTTAAAGGTTAGCAAATTAAATAAATGTTCAAGGATAGCAAATGTTTTTTAAAAAAATAATTACAAATACCATAAAAATTTTATTACACAATACGTAAGAAAGTTTTAATTCAAAAACGACAAATGGAAAAAATGTGAACACGTAAAAAGTTGAATGGCCATCAGCCTACCTTCAGCCATCCCATATAAAAGAAGAACTGAAGGAGGGTGAAGAAAGGAACGTACAGATCGACGTTGTGTCCTTCGAAAGAAGAAATTTGAAGTGCTCCATTTATTCAATTCGATATCCCACATTAAATTCATGATAATTTTATATAAAAAGATTTTACACTCAATGGCAGTGGAGTTAATTACCTGGATAGTTCATAACTGGGTCGAGAAACTGCCTGCCCAGAGTGCAACCAAGGAAAAACGAGTACACCGCTAACGTAGTCACCTGTCAACAATTAGAATTGTAAATTATTATTTCACATAATTTAACATAATTGAAAACAACCTAAAACAAAAATGTTGGTAATTTTTTTTTAAATTATTATTTCTGAAAAAAATTAGTTTTTTATGATTTGTGTAAGGTCTCATATGAAAAACCTTATAGACGCACATGTGTGTCTGCGTGTGTGTGTGTGTATATGTGTGTATGTCCCTTTGTATGTAACCGTCTTCACAAACTTCTCACTATGCGAACGCTCTATAAAATTATGAAAATATTGAAAATGCGAAATTGATCAAAAATAACCAACTAACTAATTTGGCGACTTAAAATACGAAATTGGTATTTTTGTTTCAGGCCAAAAATTTCAACACCTATATAACTTAACTGACTCAACTATTTTAAAACATTTAAGTTATCGCCAAGTAAAATTCACAACCGAATGTAATTTGAAAATATTTTTCAATTGAAACAAAATCTTTTTCAATTGGGATGTTGAATAAATTGTTGAAAGATAAAAATGTACAAAATCAGACCACAAAAGTCAGGCTGAAGAAAGCAAGTTCTAGGTAATTTCAAATACAAATCAACCATTCATTCATCAAGAGTCTCAACAAATTTAACAATATTTTATAAATATTTTCTTCTCTTTTTCAAATTTAGTCTTTAAAATGAATTAATTGAGAAACGTAATTAAAGAGAGAGAAAGAGAGAGAGAGAGAGAGGAGAGAGAGAGAGAGAGAAAGAGAGGCAAGAGAAACGAAGGAGGAACGTGCGCGTGAGTCTGCAGTGCCCATGCAGATGCAATGCAACAACAAACAGCTTTCACCACCAATCAATGAATGAATGCATGAATATATATTTACACACAACTCCTCTTCCGCTTCAGTTCTTCCTTAATAAGAATTGATCGCAAGTACGTTTCATTTGACCAATCAACCAAACCAACATTACTTTTAAACGAATTAACATTATTAATTACAACACACACACACACACACACCACACACACACACACACACACACACACACACACACAGATATAAGAAAATTGGAAGTATATACGGAGATATATGCGTGCAGTTTGTCAGAAGGTGTGTTTGTATGTGTTGTCGATCGTTATCAATGAACCCTAGAAAAGACACAAGTGCCACGTTTTATTATGGTTAACAGTAAGATCTAGTCCAGCTGTTGAAACAATTTATGTGCCAACAGATTAATTTCTTGCTGGAATTATATGAAAAAGTACTTTCTTTTTATTGATATACATTATGACGATCATGTATAATATGGTTGAACATTCCTACAAAACATGCTTTCTTTTTATCCTGTGTATTTGTGGTGATAATCCAATCTACTAATGCAAAGATAGCAGAGGGAACATTCCACCTGCACTTCTGTCATACATTCCTCCACTATACTTCGTAACTTTATTCTTTCTGACGCAAAAATATCATTCGAGGTCGATGTTTTGAATTGAATTTAAAAAGTTATTTAAAACATCAGCTGTAACTATTTAAACAAATTTTCGAAAAAATGTAACCATATGGTAAAACATGCAACTTGTTTAGAAGACGATACTTAATTTCAAATAACACCCATTTAGTTGTCATTAACGTTGGCGAACAACTCGCAATATGGTCATCTACATCACTATTTGGAACCACTTCATCAGCATTAAGGAGGATGACTGATGAGACTATCTTAATTAATGACTCCTGTAAGCCTCTAATCCTTAACCTCTCAGGCAAGCAGCGATGTCATGTCGTAAAATTTGTTTTTATTTTTATAAAAAAAGCTGAGAGCAGACAGTGTAATTGCAGTGAGTCAAGGTTTTTTTTTCTGTTGCACTGAGTGATTCAACATATGTCACCGACCAGACGCATTATCCTCTCAAGTGCAGATTTTTTGAAATTTTTGTATCAAATAAATTTCCACCGAATTAAAATGATTTAAATTTTTATGATTGTTATTAAAATTATGTTATTAAAATATTTCAAAGAAAACCAATTTTAAAAATTGTAGTCGACAATTAAAGTTACATAAGCAATCAGCAACTATGAATTTATTTTTTGACCTCGGTTTCATGCTGGTATGCGATGGGATAATTATTTTCTAGTGTAAAAGTATAAAAATGGTATAAAGGCATGCAATTCAGCTTTAATAATTTGTGCAATCATGTTGTTATCATCATTTTTTGTAAAAGAATATAGGCGACGTTGTGATCCTACAATATATGTAGTCGGCTAATTTAATGAATTCTCAAAAAATTTACCTAGTTATGCTATGCTAATAACATCAGTTACATTAACGTACAGAAATCTGTGTGTTCGCGTACAATTGATTGATAATGAGAAAATAAGACATGAAGTAGAAAAGCATAATTTAAAATGAGAAAAAGAACGTGACCTGCGTGTACACGAGTGGAACGCTTATCCAGTCATACGAGTACAACATCCCCAGATTTCCACGGTACACAAGAATCTCCTGAATAAATTGAATCATAAATCTAAATACGTTTTAAAAAAATGAATTTCAAATAGTTGGATACACAGAAAATCTATTTTCAAAAATTCTTGCCATAAAATTATTTGTTCTCATAAATTATTCGTTGGAAAATATGTCCTTTTGTTCTCCCATACAAACACTTATTGCTTCCTAATAAAATCTTAACCATTCAAAAACAGTTCTACAGTTTCAACGCCATTGAGTGGATTTGTGATTCTGGGAATCATAAATGGAAATCAGTTGAAGACATTCACGTTCACGAAACTGAAGTTTTATTAGTAATTCACTGTACCTGGTGCAACATCATTTCGGCTAAATGTCTTCACCAGATAGTCTTCCAGCACATTGTCAACACATGTAGAGGATATGTAGAGGACGAAATCTTATAAAAACACATTTTTGTCGGTGTGACTCAATTTTTATAAAATTAGCCAAAAAAGCCAACTTCATATTCATAGTTTATTTATATATAATTAGCCAAAACATAATTGACTTGCAAGCACAGGTTTGCTGCAAACATTTAAAGTTGCAGAACAACGCAGGAAAGTGCAGATTACATCAACATGATGTACGTTTCCAATGCAGTGAGGTTTCCTTCCAAGTCGGAGATGAGAGTGTCATTGCTACATAGTGGCCGCTACGTATTGATTTCGATTGATATTGATGATTTCGCAATGCAAAAAGTGCAAAATAAAAAACTGCTGGGAATGCAGCCGAAGATACATTTGAGTGCAAGCTAGTCCGGTGTTCTTCTTCACGCCAAAGTCTTTTTAAAGTTTTTGGTATTTTTATTTGATGACTAGGCAAATTATTTTAAATTAAAAACTAAACTGCCGTTGAACTTTCTAGATATCACTTTGAATTAATGAGAAGCACAAAAGAGAACACCTCAGCCATGATAAATTAGTGGAACATCAATTAAACGTTAAGTCCAATGGACAATTAAAACGTCATCAGCGTTAAATTTATTGCCGCCGTAATATGCCGTAACATGCGCTGTTGTGATGATGATCATCAAAAATATCTCGGCGCGTGATCTTAACAATCATAACCATCATCATCCTCCTCCTCATCATCAAAACCATCATCATCATCATCATCATAACCATCATCATCATCTTCATCATAGCCATCCTCATCCTCATCATCATCCTCCTCATCATCCTAACATCGATGAGTGACTTCATGAGGTAGTTATCAAGTATATAACCCTTCCTGTGGGCGTCTCTGATGATGTTGCAGCACCAGACGAATGGAACCCACCACTTGCCGTGTGGAGTGCTAACGTCCTCCATCACCTTCACCTCCGATGCTGTCACAATTCCTAAGTTTTGTGTGTGTGTGTGTCTGCGTGTGTGTGTGAGTGTCTGTATGCGTGTGTGTGTGTGTGCACGCGCGAAGGTTTTTTACATTATTGTACGAATGTATATATGCATAATGTAATGATGTAACTTTAAACTAAATGTTATTCACAAATGAATGAATGTATGGATTAATTGATCGATCACTTAATTCCTATTAAACCAGCAAATAAAAATTTGAACAAACAGAACCATTGATTAATTAATTAATTAATAAGCAAACAAATGATTCTATAAGCTAATTCATAACACGTTATAGATGTTGAAGATGTTTGCAACTGATCAAAAGATCACTCACTTCTCTTGTAAAACATACATCACATAAGCGCAGAACGTATTTCTCACGAAGTAATTATGTATGTATAAGTCTATTTATATAACTGCATACTCTGTATTTAAACGTGAACATGCACATCAATTAATTAATCTATATAGTATCCTTTAGTCTTTAGTTTTGGTTAACTACTGCCTCAGAATATTAAAAAGTCCTAGCTTATGTAATTGTTAATAGCATCAGGGAACGCGCGTAGGCATAGAATTGTGAAACGTTTGAAGATTTTCAAAGAAGAGCCAGCATGTTATTTCATGTTATTTCCCATTTCTCAGACACGTCAAATAAAAACTCAAACGTGTTGAAGTAATGCTGCCTGCTAGCAGTGCGCTGAAGTACTGCACACGAACTTCTTATCAATAATGAGCATCTTCATCGAGAAAGACGTTCACAGTTTTAAAATAATTTAATGTCCAAAAATCATTTTTCAAGTTTAGTTCTAAAACATGAGGGGAAAAAATATATTGATGGGAACTGTACGGTTGTAGGAAAAACTTAATAAACATAATGAACAATCTATTTTATCTTGTCAGTCAGCAAATGAACTTGGTTGTAACGATCACTGATATAAAGCATAAGGTTGATGTTGTTTAAAAGGTACGACGCAGGTGAACGACAGCGTATGAGGTGGGTCGATAGCAGTTGAAACACTTGAATGAGCACACCAGATGCAACATCACTACTCTTCGATTTCTGTTTAAATCAGTTTATACTTACGATACTCTAAAGAGCGCTACGAAAAATTACACCTTTATAAAAAAAATCATAAACCGAAGCAACTTAAAATGTAAGCACTTTTGCTAAAGTATAAAAATTTATTGGTTCTTGAATTTATAAAAAGTTTATTAGTTCTTGAATTTATTATAAAATTATAAACATTTTTGATGACAATTAAATAAAAAAAAATCAAGTAAAGTTTAAAAAAGTGATCATCATAAAAATAATTTGACGTCCAAGAAAATTTTTTAAGTTTGACTCTGAAGATAAAATTGATCATCATTATTTCATTCAATTTTGAAAATTGCATCATGTGAATAGAAACAATTTAATTTTTTCTTGCACGTATCATTTGGCTTTCACTTGCACATGTGAGTTGAGTGTACCTCACTCGAGTATTTACATTGAATGAATTTACATAACTCTACGGCACTCTACAAAAGTGTAATGAAGTATTCTGTTGTTATCATCATCATGTCATCATCTCATTTCTCATGGCGTCGTCGACTTGAACAAAAAGTATGTACTAGAACTAGAACTAAATGAAATAAAACAATCACAGATGGATTTCAAACAATACGGTTAAATCCGTTTAACTTGTCAAAAGCTTCTTTTCTTCCACAAACACATTAACATACACACACTCGCTCTCACTTAGACATCACACACACATACACACGCGCGCGCGCACACACACACACACTTTCGTCCTTCTTCACTAATATTTTCATACACTCGTCGTCACCCATACAACGTACCTAAAACGAATTCAGTACAACGCGAATAAATTTCACTTAGTAATGTTGTTGACACAAGTAAAACAAAATTGTCTTTGAAAAAATTAAATAAAAGTGTAAGGAAATAAATTTATTTTAGTAATTCCCACTGGACACCGCTATTAAAATATATATTACTTTGTGTTAGAATTCATCTGTCGCCTCGATTCTTCTTCTTTTCATAACCCATAAAATTCAAACCGGGATTCCTCATGAAATTTTTTTTGGTTACTCGTTGACCGGATGTATCGCAACCAGAGTGTCGGAGACGGATTCGATCGGAAATTTTAGGAGTGGTAGGAGTCGGAAATTTTTGAGGGGTAGGAGTCGGATATTTTCCATCCGACTCGCAACAAAACGAAAAGTCGTTCAATTTAAATTTTCCAAATATTTAAAGTAAAGTTAACGGTAAACTTTATGACTGACAAGATATTCAAATTTTTGCCTAAAAATTCAAATTTAACATCTCAAGTTTATCCTACCCACGTCAAAGCAAACGTTTCATCAATCACATACGCACACGCACGAAGCTCACATGCTCATTGCTTACACCACACACACACACACACACACACACATATATATATATATATATATATATATATATTTATTTATTTATTTATTTATTTTTGTCTATTTATTTAAAAAAATTTCAAATGCTTGTTCAAAAGTAGCAACTTTTACCATAAAACTCATGGAAAATAATGTAAAGATCACATACAAGACAAGAAATAATTGAAATAAATAAATGAAGAAAAATGAAGAAACCTGCTTCGATGAGGTGGTCCATGGTGGGGAACCTCTTCTTCACCCTGACACTCGTCGCCTGGAAGACGATGATGCTGCCTGGTTGATGAAACAAGCAGAGGTGTCAACAACATTAATGCAAACCGATTCATATGCATGTTCTTCTCAAGCAGAACAAATGGATTAGTGATTAATTATTTGCTAATTACATGTTTAATTCAGTTCATATAGGTATGTCTGAAGTTAAACTACAGTCAGTGATTAAGCTTGAACTAATTTGTTAAAAATAAACATGGAGTAATTCAACATGCTCAATGGCTAATTAACTGATCGTCAATTGTTAAATTTTAAAACTATCCCAAAAGCAACATTGAATGACTCGATAAACATTCTTAATAGGATGAAAGATTAAAAGTAAGCATCAAGCATAGTAGGGTCCTACCCATACCCACCTACCTATCTACCTACCTACCTACCCACCAAACTACCTACCTACCTACCAACCTACCTACCAACCTATTTTCCTACCTACCAGCCTACCCACCTACCTAGCGTAAGGTACCTCATCAGGGTCCTCCGGATGATTCTGCTCTGCTCATCCACACCTTCCACCAATGTACTCACGTACAGCATCACTCTGTATATATATATATATATATATATATATATATATATATAAGTGAGTATGGTTTGTGTTCGTGTGTGTGTGCATTTGTGTATGTGTTTCTATGCGTGTGTAGGTGTGCATTCACGACAGCAGAGTGTGGCTCGTACTGGAGAAGTATGATCGGCGATAGTTATAATAAGTATTTGTTACAAAAGTAATTTTTATAACACAAAATAAACAAATTGTTAAACATCAAATTTTAAATTTATTCTCGTTAACGTTCTATCTTAGCTGGTGATCAGTTATTGTTAATATAACAGAAAAGAGAGTTAAATATGTGTTAGCTGTTAGCATATTTAATTCACGAAAGTTCACGCACTGATTTGAAACTATTTTGCATTCTTACAAATTTTTTACAAAAACTACAGCAACTACCTTTTCAACTCTTCAAACAGTTTAAATGCTGTAAAGATGATGATATTAATAATGGATTTATCTAACCCGGTAGTAAATACAAGTTAAAAATATTAACAACGATATTAACGTAGCAGCGTTAACATCGGGATAGGACACGCCGATAAGGAAGATTACCTCGGCTTACAACTTAACGATGCTGTTAGTTTGCCTTGCTGCAGTTGTCATTTGGTGAGCAAACAAATTTTTGTATTATTGTTATTATTCAGATTAGTGTAGTTAATATGAATAATGGAGTTATTTATGCTATTACATGCTATTATAACGACGACGACAACGATGATGATGATGGTGGTGGTAATGAAGATTAAGTTTATTATCATCATCAATGTTACATCTGGTATCTGGGTGTGAAGAATTGACTCCTCCAAAGCAGGTCAGACGCCGAAAGGTCAGGGTGATCCTGCCTAACCACAACTGATCATTGCAGCGTCGCATTGGTTCAGTAAGTAATTGTAACTACTGTAAATTAAACGGTAACGACAAATGAAAAGTCTGTATGAGGAGGGAATCATTTGACGACAAAGCAGGAATACACAGCTTGCCCCAGGCACAACGATATAAATCCAACTCTCAAGAATTTGAAGTTCAAACAGCAAGAAACCGAATTCGCCCATACAACGTCACCAAGTTGCTAAGAGAAGGTGTTGAAGGCAGTAGATCTCTTTAATGCAGCAAAAATTTATTTCAAATTTTTTAGAAAAGGGATAATTTAGCAACTCCCAACAAACTTCCTTTCCAGATAGGGTAAAACGTATAAAACGCCTGCTGTGTAGCGCTTGTTAAAGCAAACAAGTATGTTTTTAATTCCACCGTCGAAAAAATACACGGATTCGTCACAACATGATTCTGGAAATATTTCAGAGAACATAAGAAATGAGTAAATGCAAAGAATTCAATATTCACAAATCTATTATAGGTTGTCGTCAGAACTTTCTTCATTGAACTTTGTAAGGCCTTTGATTCTTTAAATCATAATATTTTAATGTCTAAACGATGTGCTTATGGTATTCATGGTTTATCTTATAAATGGTTTTCTTCATATCTGTCTGATCGTTTTCAGTATGTTTCTATCAATCGCTCAGTTTCTGTCAATCGCTCTATAATGAACTTGCTGCTTTAAAGAATACAAGACGTGAAATCTTACGTCATAATCCTAATTTCTACTTCTTTAAGCCTAGATCTAATTTTTTCTTTAACTAAGCGTTATCTTCATCAATGCGTCTTTGGGATTCCTTACCGGATAATGCTAAGGCATTTCCTTTGTTGGGTCTTTTTAAAGCATCAATTTTAAAGCTCATATTGTCTAACCATTTTACGACATGCTAATTTCAATTTTTATTTATTAAATTATCCTTTGTTGAATATTTCTGTTTAATTTTGTTTATTCTTTAAAAAATTTTGAATTTCACTTTGCATTGTCTTTTGATTTCTATGCACAGTATTAGTTAAGGTGATCTACACAAACATATGTATCTTGATCTCCGGTGCTATTGCCGAATAAAATTCTGTTCCAATTCAAATTCAAACTTTTATCTAGTATCAACGCTTTTAGGATCACTTCACCTTGATGATGAGTGCTCTGGTTCACGAGGCCACGAACTAAATCATGGAAACCATGGCATGAAATAAATTTTTCCAAGTCGAAGTAATACAACGCTAAACAGTAGCTGTAAAAAACCTTCAATTCGATCTCAACGAAAATACAACAATTTTCGGCTGGTTTTATTAACTTTAGAAATTTCAACATTTACAATACTTTGAATACACCGTTGGTTAATTTAATTTCGTCTGACCATTTTAGAGCCAGCTCAATAAACTCTATAAATAATATCTCATTACCGTCGTACTCCATTCACTCCGACATGAATAATGCATGAAACTCATTTTTCTAAACTAACGATTTCTATTAGTGACTATTTTAAAGTTTAAACAAATGACCAACAACATGGACCAGCAATCCATTAATTGTAATCTTACATCTTTTCTTAACGAATATTATCTAATTTAATTTCACTTTATTATTTCCGCGTCATTCGATGAAACAAAAGCACCCTTTCTATTACCATAATCATCATCTTCTTCATCATTATTATCTTCATCATCATCATCCTCATCTTCCACATCATCATCATCCTCATTATCATCACTAGCGTATGTTTTCATTATTTTAACCACCACCATCATTCGCTCGCTTGTGCCATGCCAATAATTGTTATTTCAAATACAGAACACAGACTCCAGCTCTGTGCGATACTATTTCGAAACAACATCACATATTACATCATCATCGTCGTCATCATCCACATCATCGTTCACACCAACAGCATCGCCTTTATTTATTTTCAGTACACATTTGTTCACACATAGCAGCACTTAATGACAGACTTGTAATCATCGTCATCGTCGTCGTCGTATGTATTCACTCGACCAAGCCATCAAAGACGGCATTAAAAAAAGTCTACTAATGAAAACTTAGTTGTACGCGTTTTATTCTAAGGTTATTAATAATTGAATAAGTGATCTAGTTCAAACCAAACACTTAAATAAAGCATACACGTGAACACGCACACACACACGCACACACGCACGCACACAAACACACAAACGCACACAAACACACAAACGCATTTAGGCAACTTTATAAACATTCAGTTGATGTTTTGTCTTGTTAAACAAAATTGGTCCCTTATCTACCCGGAAGGTTAGTTGCTTCAAATGAAGATATTTATTTTATAAAACAATAAAACGTAGTATTTGTCCTCCGAAAACAAATAAAAATATTTACAACATTTTTAATTAAACTGGATTAAAAAAATTAACATTAATCAGATTAAACAATCATATAGATCAATTTGAAAAAAATTCGAGCCTTGTATGCGTGCGGATACGATGATGATGATGAAGATGACGATGAAGATGATGATGATGAAGATAATGATGTTTTGTTAAGATGTATGACATATGAAGGTGATGATGTAATGACAAAGATAATGCTGTTTACAATGCTACTTAGTTCTGTGAAATAATGATCATCATGAAGGATATTGAATTGTTATAAAATGTCGTTTGAGGATGTGGAAATCAAACACTTTGGAAAGATAAGAAATTATTAAAATATGATAACGTCTGTTGATATCTTTTGGAGAATTTTTTAATATCATCATTATTCTTTAAATTTTAATTCCTCACCAACAAAGCATTTATTCTAAAAGTGAACGTCAACATTCATCAAAATTCACCAAAATTCACCAACATCATCAACATTCACCAACATCATCAACATTCACCAAAATTCACCAACATCATCAACATTAACCGAAATTCCTCAACATTCCTCAACATTCACCAATAGTGAGTGGGTAAAGATAGACCGACCTGTCAGGCCAGGGAATGCTCATGTACTGGTTCCACCACCGGCCGATGACGAGTGCCACGTAGAATCCAAGGACGAAGGATAGAGGGATGAGGTTGATGAAGCTCTCGCAATACAGGGCTACCTTCTCGAACGTTCTGCGTTAGTTCGGGTTTGTTGTATGAATGTTTCATTACAACAGAGTCAATTATATGTTACATTTAATACGATTTTTATTGGTTGTGTAGATGGCACAAGTTTGTACGTTGATTTGATGTTGTATTTTTTTTATAGAAAGACGGAAATCGACGAGAATGATCAATTAAAAGTTTTATGAAATCGTTACAGCATTGAAAATAATTGTCATGACCATTTTTAAAGATTTAACAAATAGTCGAGAGTTTTGTAAAAAAAAGCACGTTACATCACTCAACACAACACAACATACGCGAGAAAATATAGAGCTGGAAAAGGAAATGTTAGAAAATACAAATAAGGATAGGCGTCCCATAAACAGCATGCATGTTTGTTCTTCAAACATAGCAAATATGTTAGCTCAGTCGGTAGACAAGCTAACACGTGATGGCATGGTTCGAATACTGTCTGAGACTCAAGGACCATCACGCGCGTATGACGTGTGGTATGGATAGTGTACAGTCTCTGTGGCTGACACGAGAGTTTAATTACAAGTATAGAATAACATGTAAGTACTAAGCAGATGCACGTTTGACAGAGCAGCATTATGGAGAATAAAAAATATACATCTACCTTACGATGTCTGCTGAGGTCTTATTGCTCAAACTTTTTAACTAAAAAAATAAAAAACAGAAACTCGTTGCTGAAAATAGCAATATAAACTTATTTTTAATTTTATTTTTGAGAGTCGAAGAAGCAAAAATAGAAAACAGCCTAACACGTGTTTTGCCAGGCGTTCATTTTTATGAATCATCACACTTCCAACGTGTTCGTCTATCAATATTTGTTTAATTATTTTATTCACAACTCTGAAACGTTTGTTAGTACGCGATTTTTTTCATCTGTGTAAAACACGACCATCTGTTTTAACGAAGACTTTTGATTTGGGAGAAACATTTTTCTGTGCAACCATTCATTGGAGCATGCATTCATGAAATGTGCTTGCGTGTGGCAGACCATTCACGGACGCATAAAACGTCTGGTACTGGCTTTGAGTACATAGCACATGCACATTCATACAATTGCGCAATCGTTTCGCACGCCTGTCTGCATCATATCTGCGTACCTACGCGCAAATAACCACACATACACACATCTACATCGCAGACGTGCAGACGCAACGTATGTATACTAAAAAAATATATACAAATATAAACACACGCATATATACAAAAAGTCATACTTTAAAACGTACTTACATATTTGTACGAACATACTTGTGATACATATATTTATTACCTTCTCTGTGAGTCATCCAGAACATTCCTGTATATGCAGCTGAGCAGAACATACAGGCCACAAAATATTGCCATCTCCTTGTACATGAGTTTGTATATGCTACCTTTCCAATAGAACAACAATCTAGAGAAGGCGCACAGACGCGCGTTTGCTACTTGCGCTGTGTATGTAATCGTCATTTTTCTTCCTCCTCTTCCCCTTTCTTAATGATTCTCTCTCTGTAATTTATCTATGTTATCTTTTATCGCGGCTGTTATTGTAATGCCTGTTGGCGTTGATTAATACGAAAGTCACTTTCAATTACTTAATGTGTACTTGGCTAAATTGTTGTTGGTGGTGTTGGATTGTTGCTGGAGCTGATTGTTGTTGTTGAATTGTTGTTTGTTTTATTTTGTTGGTGTTAAATTGTTAAAAGACAACCATCCAACTGAGTTTGTTTTCTACAAATCGATGCAGGCAGACACAACCACCTTGCAAGATCTTCCTTGTTTATTCTCCGCTTATTGTTATCCAATGCAAACGCGGTAACAAACAGCTCGATGTTATCAGACAGGTGCGCTCTTTATTGCTGCTTACATTTGTTTTACTGTTGTTGTTGTTGATGATGTACTTTTGTTGCTTTTGTCGTTGTTGTTTTTATTATAGACTTTTTTTTATTGTTTTCGCCACTGATGTTGCTGTTTATATGTCTCTTTGAGGCATAATATGTAATACCTTGATCAATTAATCTTGTTAACATAAATAATTAATTTTTTGATTGACGTCTGTCGAGTCCTCCCTGCGACAGATGTGAGACACTCTCTTCAAATATGCTGCTAGTGAATGAAGTCTGAAGCTGACGCTTTCAACAATATATTGTACAAAAGAAATCTGAAATAAAACAAAAAAATGTTGACATCAAAAAATAGAAAGTAATAGGGCAAGCGACTTAATAATTTTTACACATTAAGTTGCTTCTGCATAACATCACATTTCTGAGTTTGTAAACAAAAGACTCATAGCCGAGCGTGATCGATAAAATTTACTTGATTGTTCTATTAACCTTTCATTAAACTATTAGTAACAAAATCAGAGAAATATTTGGAACTTTATTTATAACACTGTCAGTGTAACAACATCAATATCTCAATTGTCTTTCTAGCGCTCACTGCTGCCTTCAGAGCGGATCTTAGAGTATTTATGTGGTGGACACAATTTGTTGGGAAAAGAGCAGAGTTAACAAATTTATCGCTCAGTGAAAGAATAGAATGTGCTGTCATTCATGACTTTAAGCCCAACATGTCATTTAGAAGTCTTTTTAAAGTATGACATTTTATTTATGTTTGTTGCTGTTAATCTAAGTTTGTGTAAGTTTGATTGATGTTATTGTTGACGTTTGTGTGACCACACGGCGGTTCGTAGCGTTGTTCATTTTGTTAACCAGTTAACGTGTTCCCTACGACAGCAACGATTGATTGGCGTGTATAACATAATAAATAAAAAATAACGAATGATGTGGATAACGAAATATTGTAGGCACCAAGTGAAAGCCCGAACGCACGCACTTCACTGAACATTCTGCGTTGTTGTAGCATGTTGCAGTTTTTATTATATGGCGCACACTGCAGACTGTTGTGCACGTACTATATAATAAAATAACAATTGAAATGTTGCCTCCATGTGACTACAGCATAGCATTTTATTTTATATATTGACGTACACACATAAGATAAGTTTAATGCTTCATGGAAGGAAGGATTTTGAAGAATATAAAACAAACTCCATTTGCATTGCAAATATGCTGAAACGAATTTCCTCAAGACAGAAATTCTGAACAAAAATTCAATTGGATAGATAATTGAAAATTTAAAAAAAACTCACTTGGTGTACGATTTTCAACTTAAATTTAAAACAATATTCATCAAAAGCCAGAGCTTCGTTAACAATTTAACAATTTTTTATTAGAATAAGTTCGCGTTCACTTAGGTATGTAACCAAATGAAGAAAGATCTTGATCACATGTCATGAACAAACTGAACGGTTGTGTAACATGTTGAAAATATAAAATAAACAGATAAACATGTAAACTCATATAACGTAAACATGCAAAGCTTACACTGATTACATCCATAACAGAACATTCGAATATATATTTGCAACTTACATTCGCTGCCTATTATAGTTTACTTAAGGAAGCATGTCTGAACGCTAAAGTGTATGTAAAAGAAATTAATTCTAAATATAACAATATAAGTGAATGCGTTCATCGACGCGCTTGTTCATATGAAAGTATTACATACAACGACACACGCACACGCATGCACACACACGCACACGCACCACGTACATACTGTGTTTTTGAACATATCGACGAGGATGATGAATGTTGATTGTCTAATACTAATTAACCTCCATACAAATCTTTCAATAAAAATGGGTCATCTA